TTTATCTTTTTTATTTCTCCTTTCTTTTCGTTTTAGGTTGTAGGTCCTTTTCTTGCTGACCTTTCACCTTTCTTTTTTGTCCACTAAACTGATTTGATTTTGGAGGACTTTTCACTCCCAGTGTGGATAACTTCAAACACAGTAACATTTGTTAGGTTTTAATCTAAGGGTTTTTTTTTTTCCTCTAATGCATAACTTAATTATATTTACTGTACCCGATAAAAATAACAAATAATAATACCTAGTTTTATGAGTTTGGTAATCACAATCAAACTTCTTTATTGCTATACGTAAGTAGAGATATAGCCACTTGATGGTTTAATTCAATCCCTTGAAAGCGAATAGGCAGTCCCACAAGAGGTCTACAAGAAAATGTAGTGGTGCATTATTTGTAGATTGTCCATCTAGACTCTATTACTATTGGTTTTCCACTTGAATTTCCTACTACATGGAGCTTTCAAGGTGTTAGGCATGAGTAGCGGTCTCCCCTCTTTTTTGTCTTCTTTTTCCACTCCAATTTGTGAAATTTTGACTAATTAATTTTCTTCTGTAATAAAAAAAAAATTTAAAGGTCTTGGCTCCCCTCCCCATTGGATTTGCTGTGTTCATGGTTCACCTTGCCACAATCCCAATCACAGGCACTGGTATCAACCCTGCAAGGAGTCTTGGAGCTGCTGTGATTTACAACAAAGAGAAGGCCTGGGATGATCAAGTAAATAATTATTTCAACCTCCTATATGTTTTCCATTTGCTGTTATTCTTTTAACAAGGAATGTAAAGAGTTAAATATTTGCTTGTGCAGTGGATCTTCTGGGTTGGACCCTTCATTGGAGCTGCCATTGCTGCATTCTACCACCAATACATCCTAAGAGCAGCTGCCATCAAGGCCCTTGGATCTTTCAGGAGCAATGCTTAAAAAACAAAAAAAAAAATCAGCTCTCCTTTTCCATAGATAATTCAAGAAAAAATTATGGTCATGATGAATTGTGATGGAGATGTTTTCCACAAAGAATAACAAATGAAGAGTGCAAGTCTGTCTGAGGGGAGGGCGGGGGGGTGGTTCCCTCTTGCAATCTTCTTTCTGTCTCTTTCATGGGGTTGGAAGGAGAAGCCTTTAGGGGGCCATTGAACTGTAAATAAATTAAAATATATTTATGGACAAGGGTGTCTCTTTTGAACTGATCCCTGTTTGTTCTTATCTTTTCTTTTTCTTTTGCTTTGATGTATTTAATTAAGTAATTGTGTTGTCATCTTTGTTTATCCTTATCATCTCCTTTGTATTCACCCTTTTTTTTCTTATGCATAATTCTAGTGGTGAATTGTATTGTCTTCTTTAGCCTTCAACCACCATCTTTATCCCTTTGTCATCAATCCATTGTATTGACTTGCAAAATCAAGCTAAGCATGCTATAAACTATAGTACAGCTTAGCCAGCGACTTGAAATCGAAAATGACTCAATCATCCCTAAACATATGACTTCGAGTAAAACTTTTATTTTTTACATTGAAAATGATGTTAAAATAAACTTATACCTAACCAGAGAGTTTGATTGTGAAAGGCTTCTAGTTTAAACAACCCCTTGCAAGCTTGACAAAGAATCAATTGTGAAGGAGTCTCCACTCCCTCAAGACTAGTGATCATACACTAGGGTTACTAGGGATGCATGCACCAAGAAATTTATTAAACAACTGTGCCTCAAACCACAACTTTCTAGTTTTTTCTTTGCAAATTTGGGTTTTTGTTTTGCGGAGTCCATGAGGAACCTTTCTCCTCCTTTCAATATTATTGGGGCAAGTGTCTTCTTCCTCCATTCCCTAAGTGACATTTCTCTACATTTAAATTGAAAATATGGCTTTGCCATCAGCATATTCTTATCCTCAAATTCTCTTAAATGATTACATACAGACTATTGATCATCAAAGAGCTGATTTAATAATTTAGTAATTTATAGAACTTAATTAGACAGTGATATAACCTAAACGAGATTAGATGAGTTGGCTTTTGTGGTGGTGGTTTGTGGAAATGAGATGATGTATTTGATTCTTTCATCTATGAAGTATTATATAGTAGTTGCTAAGGACAAAAATAATAACAAAAGAGAAAGAAATGGGTTAGGTCAATAAGGCTTTGGGTTTCTTTTGCCTTTTTTTTTTTCTTTAAAGTTGGATGCTTCTCTCTAAGAGAATTAATTTACCTTATCTTGTCCTTATTATTTTATGGCCCCCTGGGTCATTTTCCAGGGCAAAGTAGTTGAGTCTTTAGCCCTTTGCTGATGAACAATTTGGGGTTTAAAATTGCAAGGAAGGTGAGCTTTTGCTGTTGGAGTTTGCATATGAAAGAGATATATTTGGATATTAATTGATATGTCCCTCAATCCCTTGCTATACAAGACGCAATATTCAGATTTGGGAGTGATAAACATCATCAAGTGGAAGCAAAACCCATAATTATAAGTGAGAAAAAAAACCCTTAATTATTTATATAGAGAAAGAGACATGATACGTGTTTTCAAAATAAAATTATTAACATCAAGAGTTCTATCGTATTCGAGTATTTGACTCGTTGGCACATGATCCCTGCCTAAAGAATAGAGTTTAAATTTCCCTTCTCTCAATTATAAAATAAAAAAAAATCAAGAGTTTTATTTCTTTATCTAAATAAAGAGAAAATAATAATATTTCATTAGGCGTTCTATTTGTTTTGTAATATTTGTCATTTAATAATTTTTTAATCATAAACTTTTAACAAAGAACAAATATAATGGGACAAAAAGAATATTAATTTAGAGAGGAAATCTTTAGTGTAGCATATACTGCAGTCACTGTTTCTTTTCTTGTTTGTTTCTCAAGAATAAGGCAGAAAGTTCTCCATTAATTACGGGCTCTCCAGAGCATTCTACAATGTACAAACTTATCAAGGATTCCACTTAAGAGCAAAACAAATTAACTTTAATCAGCCAGAATTGGACTGTTTTTGGTCAAATGCCACATCAACTCTCTATCAGAATGTAGGTGACTCTACCTGGAAATGTCATGCATAGAAACTGCTGCAACTGTGATTATCATTATCTAATTTCTTAATACTGCTGATTAGTGATGATGTCAATGTTTAGGACTTTTAATTTGTTCGGTAACCTGTTACTGTACATTACTATGAGAACTAAACAAGCCAACTACCAAACCAAGTTTAACAGATATATAGAGAAAACAATGGGTTAATCTCTTATCACTTGAAGCCCCCAAACCATGAATTTTCAAAGGGTATAGAACCATTCTGGTAATTGTTTCAATGCTACATTTTAGTCTAACATTCTATAGTATTCAACAATGATTTGATAAGATGATTATCACTCCCTAAGTCAAAGTAGTTTGAAGTAATTGATTATCAAGATTTTCAAGCTAAAGTTTCTTTTATGAACAAGAGAGATTGCTCTGGATAGGAGGAGAAAAGGGGCAAGTCAAAATAAGAAATTTAATTTTTGAAAAAAAAAATTACAATTTCTAGGTAAGATTAATGCATTGGATTTCATCAAAATTCTTTAATTAAGCATGTTTGAATGAAAATAGTATTAAAATGAATAATTTTTTGGAAAGCTTTCGTATTTTTTCTATTTCATTTAAAGAAAAAAAAAATCTATATAGACAGCCTTTTAGGAGCCAAAACATGGATATGGATGCAAAGGGGCTTCAGCCTCATTGCCTAATGGAACCCAGTTACCATAGTTTGAGGTAATCATGGTCTCTCAACTATTCCTCAAGCATATAGCCAGCCCATTGAACCACTCACCCCTTTCCCCAAGGATCAACTATTCCTCTTCAAAGGAAATCTCGAGTACATTCTCGTCATGTGACTTCACTGCTGCATGGCTAAAACATGTGAAACCCTTTTAGCCCATTGATCCGAAAACAAGACTCTTGTGGACGTGTTAAATGGGCTCCTGCAGAGGGGGGGAAGGGAGGAAGGAAGAAACACAAAACAAAGCAGAAGAAGAAATAATAAAGCATGAAAAAGTGACCATGATTTTAAATATTAACATGTGGGGAAGATGTCTGCATTGATTTCAGTATTGGGTTTCTTGGGGGATGCTTTACCCTCCCTGCAATAATACTGAAAGGCAGGTGTCACAGGCTAGCCATTATAATTACTCACATCAAATATATGTGTTCTTAGACCCTTTGCTGATCCCTCAAGCTAAGCAAAACCCCATGCTTCCATTACTTTTGGGTTTCTTTTTTCATGTATAATAAAGAATACATGAAGAGAAAATCATTCAGAAACATTGTATCCTATCCATATTTTTTTGCCATGATTCAAAGCATAATATATAATTTCATGTACATGATGAGATTAGGGTATGATTTTCTTCTCACTTTGGAAAGCATGTGAGTGCATGATATATTACAATGAAGTTATAATAGTTTTTTTTTTTTATTTGATCTCAGCACTCCATGGTAGAAAAGTGTTTGAGAAGGCACTCAAAGCAGATAGAAACTTGGCTTTGAGAGTAAGTATGTAGAAGTAAAGCAAAATGATAAGCCAATGGGGATTAGAAAACAAAGAAAACCTCATAATCACCCTGCAACTCCACTCAACTTTACATTATCTTACAAAATGGAGGAAAAAGGTGAAAAAGGATAGGAGATTTTTCCATGTTGAGGCCATTAGCTGAGAAAATTAATATTGGGTCATTCAAAAAATCATGATAATTTTTTGATAAAAGATTATAATGTATAAATATTACAGAATTTCATATCGAATAAGTAAAAAAAGAATTTTAAATTTATAAATATAAAACGTAAACGTTGCTGCAAGTAATGACGTATAACACAAAACTTATATAAAAACAAATAAAATTAAAATTACTACTAAGCATGCACCTTCCATAATGTACATATTGTGCACTGATATTTCTTGGTTGACATCATAGGGCAATTTGGGAGAGCAGCTGTTTAGAAAGAATTATTCTCTATCATTTTGTTCCCACTTCAAACAGTTATGTTACCTTCACCAAAATTAAATGCCAAGCAACAACCACTTTGAATGATTTCCATCCTTATAAAAGCCATTGGAAAGCACCCAAAGTTTTTAACTCAAAAACCCATTGCTGCTTTTGCCTCTCCTCGTTCAAACAAACAACAAAAAAGAAAAGCAATGAGTCCATTTGCCTCTTGCTTGCTTCTCTTATTATCATCTCTAGCTCTTGTCTCCCTAGCCAGGGCTCAAGACAGAGCTCCCCATGGCATTGCTTACGAGAACCCCATGGCTTTCTCCCCATCAGCATATGAATTCTTCCATCCGAAAACCCGAAAGCCAGACACCAAAAACCCCTGCGCAGCTTCCAATTGCTCGCCATTGCCTATGGCAGCTCAAGTTGACTCTGCAAAAGCACTGGAACAAAGCAAGGTTTCGACGCAGCAGAAATCTGGGCATCGACTGGGAGCTGATGGGATTGCTGGCGTTGTTTTCGGTCTGGCATTTGCAGTGCTTTTGGCAATGGGTGCTTACTATGTGCTGAACACCCGTCGAGCTAATGCTAACCGAGCAAACTCTGTTCAACCCGATGCCTGATGGTGTGCTTCATTTCTCCATGTATAATATAAGCTATAAGGGCTTGATAATGATAGAGCAGCAGTTGGAATTTAAGCATTTTCTTCTATCTTTTAGCAGTACTTTTCGTTCTCTTTCTCTCTGGGTTCTTCCTCCTTCCAATCTTCTGTCATGGAGTGTATTGTTTATGAATTCAAATTTGTTATATATTTGCATGATGCTTCACACATGCAGACTACAAATTTAGTGTCTGATCAATCAGATTCTGCTATGTTTATCATCACAATCATTCAAGGCAATGGCAGACACAAAACTTATAGGTCGTGAAAGTCAAAGGAAGAGATCATTGAGGTTATGCCCATAGTAATTGGATGCATTATGGGAAATTATACATAAATTGAATATAAACGTCCGAAACCTGGAAAGATCTACAGGAACAGGTAAAAAGCTACAACATTTTACTGTATAATTCCCTCATTTTATACTCCAAATTACTTAGTTTAATTTTTTATTTATTAATGCACAATGAACTATACAAATTTCACAAAAATAGATAAAATATGTTTAGTTCATAAAACAAAAAGTAAAAATTATTTCATGATTTTGTTCGTTTGGTTGGCTAAAGTCATATAGAGGAATGTATAAAGATTAAACTTTTAAACTCCAACAGTATCTTCTTGTTACGTTATATAATAACACGAAATCGAGACAGAACATTTCTGTTCCAATTAAACGCCCTACGCCGGTGGAGTAGCTATAGCTGAACTACTTTTCATTCATTTCCAAAACTACTCTCTACTGCCAGAACAAAAGACAAATAATATTTTGATGCTAGGAACTGAACCACTCATGCAGCGGGGGATTGGGCGTTTGATAAGAACTAAACCACTAGGGATTAGGTTTGATATGAAGAACTAAACCACCATTGGTTATGTTTAGGAACATGAATTTAGTTACATAATCCTATTTCAAATCCCAAATCCTGTTTCCAGAGTCAAGTTTCCATTGCCCTACCTAAGGGATCAATTACATATCCAAGGATAGAAGGAGCTAATTACCAGGGACAGTAAAGCCTGATCAAAGCCACTGCTCTCACTCGAGAGGAGACTATTGCAAGTGCGTAGGCAATGGGACAAAGCTCGGGCAGATGGTAGTTGACACAATGTAGCATTTGGGGAGATGAGGAGCAGTATCATCATATGTGTGATTCAAAGTTCCAGGACAGCGGCGGTCCGGCTTACTGCCTCAAAGGGGGTGGTACCTAGTTCTTCCAAACTTAATTAAATAGTAGCAAGTATCATCTACTTCAAACAATATTTCCTAGAAACCAGATCTTCCACAAAGTATTGCAGTTATGGCCAACTAGAATCAGCATACACCATAGTATCCATGAGAAGCAACCTTCTTGATCCAATTAATAATCAAATGTTTGTAAAGAATGAAATCGTATCAAGCATGGGGCAGGGATGAAACAAATGTTTGACAGTTTAGACAAAACAATCTACTCCTCAAACATTGAAGTCCTAGGAAGAAGGAAAAGAAATGAAGATATACCAGGAAAATTGCATTTTCCATTATAATATGTTATGTATTACAACATAGCACAGCCCCAGGATGCATGCCCCCTTTCAAAAGATTTAGAGAGATAGAACTGAGTGCAAGCCATTGCATGCAATAATATGAAAAAAATAGACACATCAGAAGTTGACTGTAAAATTACTCCAAATCATCTACCATCCACGTGAACTAATGGACTCAATTACTGGCACAAATATATGGTCCACAGCTTTGTTCCATAGAAGAGCAAACTCTGAGCGAGATTTCTTTCCAAATATGGGCTCTTTCATCTGGAAGAAGTTCAACAAAAAACTATGAGAATTTAAGCACTAAGCGCTGAAAACAAAACAAAATTTTACTTGTGAAAGCAAAAACTGCTTGCTTAGCAATTTTAGGCTAATAGATCCATCATTTCAGGAAGGTTAACCATTTGTTTCAAATAAGTATGTTCCTTTCTTCCAATAATTCCACTTGCGATATACTGCAAAACCACACAAATAGATCTAATATCTATTCAAATCACAAGGCATATGACCTTAAACATAAGGTTCTATCTATTTTTTCTTCATTAGAAATTATCGACGTGATAGGAGTTCGAAGAAAATGGTTATTAAATTGGGTGATAATACTGCTAAAGATATTTGGTTGTTTCCACATTTTTTAAAAAGTTTATAAGACATATTTGGCAATACATTCCCCTTCTAATTAAACAATTAACTAGATTGTTGATAACATTCTAGATGAGATTGCTCAACTTTGTGTGTTTAAGATGCAAGTCTGTACCAGTAGAAACTAACATGATTAAACTGGTTAAAATATAATATCAAAATGGTTCAATTTCTTATGCTAGCTGCAGCCAGGAATTCTAGACAGTCTAATCACCAAGTTCAATCATTATTTTTTGAAGCATTGACAGATATTAAGAGCTAAATTTTGAACTTCAAATTTTGAAGAATACGACAACATGCCCCGATCCCCTACATCAAAGCCCATAGAAAATAAATACTAGAAAGTAAGCAACTCTGCATTCCTCACAAGTTCTCTTCCGTTCAATTTCAATTCTTGGAAAGAACAAGATAAAGGAGAAAGAAAAAAGAAGCTTATAAAATAAAGACAAGAAAGCCATTACCCCTTATTTCTTTTGATAACCAAGTATAAGACAAAGTCAATAGTTTTCCTTAAACATTATTCCCATTGTTTATCACTAGAGCTAAAGCACAAGGAATTCGTAACACTTTTCACCTGCATTAACTACAACATGGTTACTTGTTCTACAGAAACCGTGACGCATTGGCTTAATCAGTTCAAAAGCCATACAAGATTGGTGTAAGCCTTCCCAATGACCTTCACAATCATTATTATAGCAAAAAAGAAAAAGAAATTGCAGCAATGGCCTATCCCTCATTAATTCATTGGTTATAAATTCCTCAAAACTTTCAATTATTGTTCACATACAAGTTTCCTTTTTTTTCACCCAAACTAATAATAAAAAAATACAATAAAATAGAAATAATGGCATAACAGAGTAATCAAGAAAGTTCCTTCTCCTACACATACAACCAAATTATAAGAACAAGCTTACCACTTGATTTTTTTTTTCTCAGTAATACTACGAACATTAATCAATTTCTCTAGGGTTCAGATAGCTAACGACACAAGTAAAATTCAACGCTGGAAACGGAAAAAGGGGACCTGAGATTGAGAAGCCAGTTGAGATTGATGATCCGAAATAGATTCGTAGATGCGTTTCCGTTGCTCGAATACTACGATCCCCGTCAACGCGCTTCCTAGTGCAGCGCCAAGCAACCGCTCCTGCATTTTCCATCAACTATCAGAAACTAAAAAGAAGAAATTAGTAAAGCAAGGAATTAGGGTTTTTGGATTCGATTTGTTAGGGAACCTGAGCGATAACGCTGATCATGGTCAGAATTTTTGCGTCGGATTTGGGGATTCTTTTACATTCAACTGATCTTGGAAAAATTTGAAGATGATATGCTCTGAATTTGGATTACTGAGGCCCAAAAAGAAATGGACTAAGGCCCAATAGACCCATTTAAATAAAAATAAATAATCAATTATAAGAATTAAGTTAAAAAATGAGATTTCAAACTTGAAATTTTTATTTCGAAAATAACATGTAATTACCATTTAAATTAGATATTCGATTATATATTTTTTGATTTTGAAAGAACGAGAAATTTAAATTTGAAATAATGAATCATACATCAATTATTGAGTTATAAACTCAAATAAAATACATGAACTTATAAAATTATAAAGTTCTTAAAATACATGTATGGGATGAAATGAGACAGACAATAGTTTGCCCTTGGACCTCCTTCCTCCACATTCTATATATCTTTGATTTGTCTTTGACTCTTACCCATCCAAGTGTAGAACAATTGGCATTACCAACATGACAAGATCAACAACTTTAACTGTTTGATCCATTTTCTTTGGAAGAAATCAGGAGTTCAATTTTGGGTAATTTTCCATTGATTGCTAGAATGAAGCCATGGCCTGATTGGTGATGGCCATGTTTGGAAAAGAGAAGGGTTGGTGGAGGAGTTTACATGGACCCCCCTCCCTCCCTCCCTCCCTCCCTCCATAAAAAGAACTGTAATGGCAAAGGAAGGGTGTGCTTGCATTGCATGTGAGCCGCTGTCAGCGCCCCACATCACAGTTTCCCTCATGTGATTGTCTCAGCTGCTGTACCTGCAAATATTGTTGCAAGCTGCAAACTATTTAACCAATGGTCCCTTTCTCATTTCAACTGCTCATTCCAACCATGTGTCCCCAAACCCTCCTGATTAGGACTTATCATCTAAACCCTGCAAGGGGGGAAAAAAGAAATTTATTGTCTTCCATTGTGATAACAGTGTAACCCTAGGGTACCCTACCCTTCCCATCAACTGGACAAGTTTTACAACATCTTTCCCATGTTCCTCCCACAGACACAAAGACAAAATATGCACTCTAGTCTGCACTCACTCTAGTACTGTTGAAAAAGTTTTGAGGGAAAACAGAAAGTAAGATGTTGCACATGGAAAACGAGATTAACTTGGAAGTGAAATGTTGACTAGTGATTTATTTGTCTTTATAAGTTTAAATCACCAACTGGCCTCTGGAAGTAGACCAACAGTTGTTTTGTGCCTCATAGGAACATCCGGGTCCTACTTAGAAAGATTTGTGTGAGACAATTAATTATATTGTGAGCTTCTGTTCTTTGCTGCTTGTTGGAAGTCTTCCATTTCTTCAATGCATACCTACAAAAAGAGGCCTCTGGGAACTGTAAAAAGTTAGCCGTACTAAGCCAAGATAAAAGAAGCTTTTGTTCCTGACTTGATAACTCTGTCTGCAGGGCATGGACAGCTTTAAATGGTACGTATTCTATAATTGTTTTCTGCTTCTGGGTGTTGCTGGGTACTTTGCGTTTTTTGGTATAGACATTCTGTCAATGGTAACTTCACCTTGGAACAGATTCCTGCAAAACAGCTTCAATGGAAAATGTTATGTCACTGTAATTCATCACTTTCTTAGTTGCTCTTGCTTTGTCCAGAATCAGTTGCTGGGAATTTTAAATTCCCTGGTTAAACTGGAAAAAAGCAAAGTGCTTATCGTTTCTTTATCCACAGAGTGCTGAGAATCAGACTTGTAACTTTTTTGTCTACATCCTGTCTTTATGCTTTTGGCCT